GTTTAGTCAGAACTCTCCACTATGACCTGTCTGTCTTGGGTGGCCCTGCACAGCATAGCCGATAGCTTCTCTGAGTTACTCAAGCCCCCTCGCCACGACAAGGCAGCAATCCATGAAGGGGACTGTCACCCATAGTTTGTGACATTTCAGCATGGATCTGCTTTGCACCTTTCTCTTGGAGAAACAGGAACTTGATTGTGGTCCTTTGCTCTTCCACATTGAACTTTTCTGGAGATGCTGCCATGTTCACTTTGGACCTGAACATGAAAGATAAGATCGTAGGTAGTTGACTGTTGCCCCATTGAATACAGACAAATTGGCCAATACACACTGCAATTTATAGCTTCCCAGCTCAGTTTCTTTTGGGAAAGGCTCAGTACTTACCAGCACCCGCTCATATATTACGAGCATCCTAAAAAATCATACTGGGGCTTATTTTCAGGTTAGGTCTTATTTTCAGGAAAACAGGGTAGTTACGTGTTCACGCCGCAGCTGTAGCGATCAATTTTGCAGCTGCACTCACTGCATCTGTCTTCCCATAAAGTGGATTTAAACCTCAAGGTTGTTTTTTTCTTCCTGCTATTCCTCTTGTCCATTTATTTCAGTGCCTTGTTTGGATTTCCTGTCAAAAACACCACATGAAAAATAGCCCAGGTTGGAGAAAAGTCAGCCTAGTAGTTGTCTCTGTCTCAGCCCCAAAACACCATTCAGGTAAAGGCAGAAGCCTTGTAGATATGTTAGATTTGTGGCCCTAGCAGAGTATTGAAACAAGTTGAAGCACAGTTGGGTGTTATTTAATCTTGTCCATCATTTCTTGGAGTATCTTAATTGTCTTTCCACTTGCAGGAGTGGAAGTTTTGTCACTTGGGTGGGAAAAACAACTGTGAGAGGGAGCATTAACAATGACAGTTTCTTTTCCCACCTGCAGCTTGAAAAATGAAGTGGGCTGTCCAACATTTGGGGCCTCTGGATAGATAGAACCACCTCTCAAAAGGCACCTACACGTGAAAATAACCTCTGCTACCTCTTGGAAGGACAGGAGATGCAATCATAAAGGGGTTTAATGTGAGTGAGGCATGATACCTGGCATTTGTTTTCAAGGCTGCAATGAGAAAAAAAATGGGCTAAGTAATCTCCTTGCAGAGTAAACCAGCATTGTGTCAGGCAATGCTAAAAACAGGAGCATTAAAAATATTATAATCTGGAAACGTTAGAGATGCACCAATTTTGGTACAGATGTAACAGTCTGCTCTTGCTCTATGCCAAATTTGGAGAAGTTTTTGCACGGTTTTCAGGTTATGATTTTTTAAAAGCAAACCCACCCACCCCAAAATAGGCGACCTTAAATGTCCCCAGGTTTAAAAGAACTTATATAAATAAAAAGAAGACCAATGTTGCTTATCTTGAAAGAGAATGGTTGGCCCACTTGCTATTTTTATTTGAAAATAATCCACACTGCAGGGACTAAAATACTGATCCTCCAAAAAAGCATTTCAAAAAGGAAAAACAGAGACTTTGTTATAAGGCTGAGCATGCCTGGTACAGACTTGCCCATAGAAGCTTTGTCAAATGAAACATCATATACGTTAGTAGGCAAAGGAAGGAGATATTTCAGAAAACATTCTCTTGGGGTTTCTGAGACAAATCTAGTCACATAAGTTTTCCAGGAGGAAATCCGTTCCAAGTCTGGAGCGATCTGAATTTTTGATCCTGTCAATCAGAAAGCAATTATTTAACTCTTAGCTAACTAACTCCTTCCTGACCAAACAGGCTTATCAGAATTATGCTTGCAGGGGGATTCTGTTGTCTGGTTGTAAAAATGGAAACACAAAAATAATAATTGAACATGTAAGAAAAAATGTTGAAGTTATTTTAAATATACATATATATTTTTAAAAAAGGAAACTGAAAAAAATATTCAGAAGCTCACTTGTTTAAGCTGTGTAATGGCTGAGGGTTTTTTCTGTGTGATTGGGGATGATCTAACCAATGTTAGAATAGCTTTGGTGCCTATTAATTATCCATTGTGCCTCCTTGACAGGAGCTGGACTCGATGGTCCATAGGGTTCCTCCCAGTTCTGCAGTTCTAAGATTATTATATTTCATAGTCTCCATTTCACTGATCTTGTCACTATTCAGTTGTCTGGTAATTAAGAAAAAACTCCAAATATGTTATGTGCCATCAAGTCACTTTTGATGTGTGGCGATTATATGACTAAATGCGCCCCTCAAATGTCCTGATTAACAGCTCTGCTCAGATCTCGCAAACCAACAGAATCTGGTGTTAGGTTGTTCTGTATTCCTCCTCCCCCCACTCTTACCAAATACTGTCTTGCAGGAAGTTCTACTCAGGTCTTGCGAACTACGGTAATAGCTATGGATTTCTTTGTTGAGTCAGTCTATCTCACATTAGGTCTTCCTCTTTTCCTATTCCCCCTTTTTACAGCAATATTGTCTTTTACAATTTGTTTTGTATTCTCATTATGATAGCTTCAATTTATTAATTGAAAAACAGCCCTGACAATTGTTTTGTGTTTAGGTGAGAAGTGGTCGACTGATGAAAAATGAATGAGCTTCTGAGATTTTCCCAGCTTGGTGTCTCTTTGTGAATGGTAGTGAAGAGAGCATCCTGTAGACCTCCTTGACTGTTGGCATGGGTCAACTTTCAGGCCGTGCTTTGGTATTTAATGTCTGGCATCCTTTTTCTAGCTGGTAACATGAGCATGATACTGTACAGCAATATTTGGCCATTACTTGGCATTTTATGAATGTGGGATACTGAAGCACAGTATCCCACATTCATAACCTGGAGATTTTTGGAAGAACTGAATAGTAATTTCAAAGTGTTTCATATTATGTTGCTCATGCAACAACCCACTAAGGTGTTATGATCATAATATTGCAAAAATGGGACCAGGGTAAGCCCCAAACTATTTGCTGTCTGACTCCAAGGACAGGATGATGCTCTTCCTTCAGGCTGTATGGTGCATTATGTTGTGTTTTGCATCAAGGGAAAGCAAGAAGTAGGCTCAGGAAAAACAGCAAAGGCACTGCTTTTCCTGCTGTAGGATCTGCCATCAGAGGCATTTGCCTCATTCTGACCCAAGCCCGGAAGGGAAAAAAGAGGCAGAAAAAACAGCTATTTTGCTGTCTCTTTCCTCTTTTTCCTGATTCCCATATTGCAGAAACCAGTAAAAAGAAAAGTGTGCCCTACCTAAAAAATTATTTGTGTCTATGGCTTGTACAGAATATAATAACCTACCTCTTCATGGTGGTTTAGTAGGAGTACTTCCGTATCTGGGACAAATTCTAATTACTGCTTTTAATCCAGCCCTGTCCTGCCTAATGCTCTGCAGGTACGCCAGACAACACAACAGTTTCATGACCCATCATCCTTATCCAGCTCAGCCACAGGTTGCAGATTTCAAGTTACAAATGTGTAAACAATTAAGGTCTAACAAATCATTTAGTGATTGAACCACTTCAGGTTCAGTAGTGCTAAATGTTACCCTTTTCATTACCTCACTGGCTCATTTACGGACCCCATTACTGCTGGCTAATTGAAATAGGCAGCTATGAAAAGCTAAGAGGGTTTGTGAAAATAGGCCCTTGTTTGTCATGGCAAAGTCAGCTTCTGCACTGTACCTCTCATTATAATTTGTACCTAAAGCTGAAAATGAACCACAGGAGTTGTGTCAGTAAACTTTATTATACAGAACTGATTGACAGGCTATTGCATTAATGTGGGTTAAAATTGGAACAGGACAACATCTTTGCAACACTGTTCATAAAATGAAAACCAAATACTATTAACTTCTCATCTAGCAGTGATGTTGACCTGTGAGACATTATTATACACGTTACCTATAATAAAAAAAATATTTCCATCAATTTAAGCAGTAGTTTAATTCTCCATGAAATAAGCATTTCTATAAACACTTTATGTTCAATTCAAAAATGTAACAAATGCATTTTTTTTGCATTTTAGAAAGATATAAAACAAGTATGATTTCCAGACAGATACAGCATTCATCTGAAAAAAATGCTCTACCAATCATAAGTGAAATTACCTTCCATCTAAGTATTTGGGACGTATTTACCCTGGAATGTCCTCTGACTCCTATACAAGCTCTAACACTGGTGGAAACTGCAAGACCAAAAGGGTATATTCTACCAGGCAGGATCACTTTCAGTAGCCTCTATTAGTTAAACCTCAAAAGAATTTTTGTGAAACTGTGGTCCAAGTTCTCCTGATTGGCAAAAGAGACCAGAGGGAAATGGATGTGTGTGTGTGAAGAGCACCTGTACTCGCAATCTATGAACTCAATTACAAAATTATTAAAGGCAAAATCAAAAGAGGCATGGTTCTATGACATGGTCCTGTTTAGTAGTTTTATAATATAACAATATTTTTTGCCTAATTTGTTTAGTTGTCCCACTTGTTATAGATGTGGCCTGAGACCCAGGCTTTAAAAACAACAGGAACATTTTTGCAAGGTGTATTGACAGCTGCAAACCTTTGAGATTTTTTAGATGCCAGGAAACAGGCTAGTTATTATGATAAATGTGCTTCTTTATTACTTTACCCTGCCTTCTTTTTTCTTCCAAAATTTAAAGTAGCTTCTTATGCGAGGTAACAAAAAAATCTATAAATAATTTTAGCAATCTATGGGACACAAAGTTCTGAATTGTTACTCATAGTTCAAACATCTAAGCATACAAAATAACATGTAAAATAGAAAGGAACCGGGGCATGGCTTGTGGCAAGGCAGCTGGGAAAGAATATTCCATTTAAAACAGGATCCTTTAAATAACTTCCTTTTGCAAAGGGCCATACAAAAACTGATGAAAGACACCAAAGAAAATTGTTCTCAGGCTAGCTCCCCTGCCTCTTTCCCTTCCTCCCTTTAATAGGTGCTCTGGAGAAATCCTCAGGGGGCTTTGGCTGCTTAGTCCATTGTGCTCTTGTGCTTGGGATCCATCTGGAACTATGTGCTGTCCTCTTTGGGAGAGGATGACAGCTGAGGCTGCTGCAGTGGCTGTGTGCCAGTAGCTGTTTTGATAGAGTTCAGGGTTTTGCTAAACCAAGAGTTTTTGGCAGCTTGGATTTCATTCATAAGCGCTCCTTTCTGGTGTTCTAACTCCTAAGAAAATAAAAGAAGCCAAATCAAGAGGAAATAAGAGAATATTACAATCGATAACATCAGTCGTTTTGCCTGAAGTTATAAAACTAACCAGTTACATTATGATTACAGTTGGAAATGAATAAAAAAATTCTAAGAATTGATAGCTATTTCTTTGAGATAAAAATAGTGGCAGCTAATACCTGTTATAGTACTACATATAATATTTCCCCCAATGTTCTCATCTCTAAACAAATGAATACTTATTCCTTATACTTATTCATTATCATGTCTCTTCTCAGTAGATACGCAATATTCCAAAAAATAAGCTGGAGACTATTCTTTCCTAGTCATACAAGTTGGAAGGGGCCTATAAGGCCATCAATCCCTTGCTTGATGAAAGAATACAAATCAAAGGATATCTGCCAGGTGGTTGTCTGATGTTTCTCTTGAATGCCTCTAGTATTGGAACACTTACCACCTCTCAAGGTAATTGGTTCCATTACCATAGTGCTCTAACGGTTAGGAAGTTTTTTCTGATATTCAAACAAAATCTGGCTTTTGGTAACTTTGGCCCAGTGTTGTGTGTCTTGCACTCAGAGATTATCAAGAACAGATCCTGCCCATCCTCTGTATAACACCCTTTCAAGCATTTGAAAAGTACTATCATATCTCCCCTCTGTCTTCTTTTTTCATGGCCAAACATGCCCAGCTCTTTCAGTATTTCCTCATGAGGCTTGGTTTCCAGATCCCTGATCATCCTTGTCACCCTCCTCTCAAGTTGTTCCAATTTGTCAGGATCCTTCTTGAAGTGCCATGTCCAACACTGGACACAGTACTCAGGATGAGGCTTAACCAGTGCCAAATAGAGGGGAACTGCTACCTTGTGGGATTATGCAGCCTTAAATGGCATTTGCTTTTTCTTGTAGCAACATCAAACTGTTGGGTCATATTCATCTTGTGTTCTGTGACAACTCCAAGATCCTTCTTGCTTGTAGTATTGCTAGGCCAGGTATAACCCATCTTGTACAGTAACTGTGTTCGATTTCCTTTTCCTAGCTGTAGTACATTGCCCTTATCCCTGTTGAATTTCATTCTGTTGATTTCAGCCCAGTGCTCAAGCCTATCCAGATCATTTTGAATTTTGTTTCTGCCTTCCAGTGTGTTGGCTATTCCACCCCATTTTGTGTCATCTACAGATCCGATTAGCATTCCCTGTATCCCCTGATCCAGGTCATTAATAAAAATATTGAATGGCCCAGGACTGAGCCCTGGGGTGCCCCACTTATTACCTCCTCGTTTGAGAAGGCACCATTAATCATCACCCTCTAAGTACAGTGGTGCCTCGCTTAACGAGCGCACCGTATAACAACGAAATCGCATAGCGATGCGGTTTCCGCGATCGCTAATGCGATCGCTTACCAATGGCCCCAATGGGCGAAACTCGCATAGTGAAGGTCAGTAAGCGTTTCGCTTACCGACCTTCGCTTTGCGACCCGCGGATCAGCTGTTCGGCGGGTCCAAAATGGCCGCCAGAAGAGCCGAAATGGGCATGCACAGCGTTTTCGCGCCCTCCCCTCGCTTACCGAGGGTGCGAAAATGGCTGCTGGCTATGGGAAGACTTCACTAAACGGTGAGTTTTCAGCCGATTTGGAATTCCAATGGCTTTTTACTTTCCGTTTAACGAAGTTTTCACATAGCGAAGGTTAATCCGGAACGGATTAACCTCGCTATGCGAGGCACCACTGTACAATCCTGTAGCCAACTGTGTGTCCACCTGACAATTGTTCTATCCAGCCCACACCTAGTGAATCTGCTAATTAGAATATTATGGGCACTTTGTCAAAAGTTTTGTTGAAGTCAAAATATACTATGTCTATGTGTTCCTTCTGTCTGTGAGGGAGATTACCTGATCAACAAGTGAAATCCGATTACTCTGGTTCTGTGTTGCCTTCTAGTTATTATTGGTTTGTTTTCTATATGTTTGCATCATGACTGATTTATAATCTGTTCCAGAATTTTCCCTGGGATTGATGTCAGGCTGACTGGTCTGTAGTTCCCCAATTCCTCCTTTTTGCCCTTTTTGTAGACAGCTCTTCTAGAGTCATCTGGCACCTCACCCATTTCCCATGATTTCAATGAAAATAATTAACACTGATATCCAGCTTCACACACTGTAAAAGTCTATGAAGAGAAAATATAGGATAAATCCCTTCTATTGAAACACATCTGATGTGTTGGAGGTAACTTTCCCATGTGTGAAGAGGAACCAGCAAAAGTGGCTGAACCTACAAGTGATCCATCCCCTCACTCATCTAAATCAGAAGGGTTCGGCATGGTTTTTACCTTATTGCCTTCAGTGGTCCAGACTATGGCTTTGGGAGGAGAAGGAGGGAAATTAGAAAGAGAGAGAAGCGGGAAGCAGACAACAGGAAAGGAGCAGCCAGTAGTCAAGGGCTTATTGATGACAAAGGAGGGAAAATAAATAGCTTGGTATAAAGAGGAAGAAGAAAAGTTGGGAATCAGAAGAGTGGCAAGATCCAGAGACAGTAGATAGGGAGCAAGAAAAAGTACTGGCACGGGGCGCTGAGGGGCCCTCTGTGTTTTCTTTTCCCCTTAAAGTAGAGGCAAAAGGGGAAGCTGAAAAGAGCGTGGGAATAGAGGTGCAGTTGAGCTGGGACCTTTGGAATGGACCGTATATGTCTACCCGAGAGGTTCTTGGAGGAAGGTGGTACACCCAGACCCAATCCCTACTGGTTCAACACTTCCCGAGGGCAACTGGACTTGACACCTCTGTTGTGGAACTATTTACTCAGTGAAGAGCCAGCCACTTCGGAAACCTACTGATCACAATAGATTTGGAATGTCCCCATGTTAAAAGACTCTTTAACAATGCCTGGGTTAAAAGAAATGTGGACTGAAATGTCTATGGTTACTGGTCCCATTGGACCCACAGAAGTTGTTGTTCATGCTACACCGTTAAAAGATATTAAACCGTTAACCAGTGGTAACTTTCACGAAAGACAAGCAGTGGCCTAATAAAAAACAAGAACCCAATCACACCATGATTTCAAGAAAATAATGGACAGAGGTTCTGATAGCTCTTCAGCCAGCTCCTTCAATAATCTTGGGTGCAGTTCATCTAGCCCTGAAGATTTGAACTAATTCAAGGTACAGTGGTGCCTCGACTTACGAACGTCCTGACTTACGACCATTTTGAGTTACATTTTGATTAACTGGCGAGAACTTCCAGTTATGAACACAAAAAGGCAGGGGAGAAAGGCAGGAAATTTAAATTGCTAACTGTTGGTGGCGAAGAGGCTGCTTCTTTATAGCTCTTTCACCCCAGCAGTTAGAGTGTGTGTGATCGGAGGAGGCTTGGGACTGCCTGGCTTCTGCTTCTGAGTGAGAGTGTGTGCATTTGCAGGGAGGCTTGGGACTGCCTGGTAAGGCAAGGTGCTGTTTTCTGCTTTTAACAAACTGCCTGTTCTGGGTGGGTTTTGCAGGGCAGGTTTGGGCTGGGACGTTATGTTTCTGTGCTGTGTTGTTTTGTTTTTTTGGGGTGTGTGTGGTTTTTTTTGTTGTTGTTTTTCAGCCCCAGCACCTTCTGATGGGGCTTACTCTTGTTTATTTTTGGTTTTGTTTTGTTTTTAAGCCCCAGAGCCTTCGGGGCTTGCTCTGTTGTTAATTTTTTATTTTTTGCAGCCTCAGCACATTCCAATGGGACTTCCTCCGTTGTTTATTTTTTGTTCTTTTTTAAACCCCCAGTGCCTTTGGGGCTTGCTCCGTAGGGTTGTGGGTTGGTGTTTTTTTTTGCAGCCCCAGCGCCTTCCGATGGGGCTTGCGCCATTGTTTATTTTTGGTTTGTTTGATTTTTGCAGCCCCGGCACCCTTGAGGCTTGCTCTGTTTATTTTTGTTGGTTTGGGTTTTTTTTTCCAGCCCTAGTGCGTTCCTATGGGTCTTGCAGTGTTTTATTTTAATTTTATTTTTGGGGTTCTTTCCCTTCTGGAATGGATTAATCACGTTCCAATGCATTTCAGTGGGAAATGGTGCTTCGACATACAACCATTTCGAGTTACGGCCATCTTCTGGAACGGATCATGGTCATAAGTCGCAACACCACTGTAATAAGATATTCCTTGACTATTTGTCTATCAATCTCCATCTGCAATCTTGTCCCTTCCACCTGCACTTCACAATTGTCTGGAGTGTCATAGTCTGCCCTTCCGGAAAAGACTGACTAAAATAGGAACTGAGCACCTCTGCCTCTTCTTCCTCTTCTCTTATCATTTTACCATCTCCATTGTGTAACTGAGCCACCGTTTCTTTTCTTAGTGTTTCTAGCTAGCTTCAGCTCATTCTCAGCTTTTCCCTTGTGGCATTGTGAAGGGAAAGACCAGAAGCTTCGGGTCTTTCTAGTAGAGCCGACTCTCTTAAAGACTTCTAAAATGACACAGACTAGCCCTCCTACCTCCCCTTGTCGTAAGGAAGACCAAGGTGCCGGCGCATTATATACAAATGCCAGGAGTATGGGAAACAAACAGTTCTCTTTCTGGACCTCTCTTGGGGTCAATGAGCTCAACTGTCCAGCCTGGGATGATCAAGTAGGTTGGGCAGATCTCATTGGAAAAAGGCGTCCTGTCATGTATTGAAGTCCCAAACTGTTTAGGGCCTTGTATGTCAGAGCCACACATATCCCATCACACATACCACAAGATCTGCAAATAAGGGGGACTTATGCTTCCAGGGAGCATATCTCCATATAATGGGTATTCAAGTCCCTTACACACTCTTCAAAAAGTTCAAAAAGTTCCCAATAGTTTCTTGTTCTGGGTTTTGCGGTCTCTTTGGCTGTGTTCTGAAGGTTGTTCTTCCTGACATTTCGCCAGTCTGTGGCCGGCATCTTCAGAGGACAGCAACCTCTGATTAGCCTTTTTTTTTTTTCAAAAATGGTGAGTGACCTTACAGTGACTTTTGCTTCTGAAAAAAATGGCCAGGTGCAGCCTACAGAAGCTGAGGAACGGGCAAAGTGAAGAGCCCAGACATTCTGTTGCTGCCCGCTTGACATAAATCAATCCTTGAAAAATGTGACAGCAGATAGTCGTTGTAACAGGCAGCCCTGACCTCACCTGTCCGTCATGGCTGGGCAGTGAATCATCAGCCAATGGGGTGACGGAGGGTGGAACTGAAGGGGGAGGAGCTGGAATAAAAAGGGGTGTGAAGAGTGTGCGAAGAAATCAGATCTGGAGTGTGTGAGAGAGAAAGAGCTTGTTTAGAGGCCTGTTTGCCTGAGTAGTCAGTGAGGGAAAGTCTGTGTGATTAATTAAATAAGAAACAGTGATTGATATCTTGATTAGCTACCCATGATTTTCATATTTTTATTTCTTGCAATCAATAAACCTTTTATTTGTTTGAGAGAAACCCTTGTCCTTTGATTTAAAGGATAGGTTGGTGGCAGCAAGTTTGTGAAGTGATGTGGTGGGCATTCTGAGAGGCCTAGAGTTGGCAGTGACATCAGAGTGCTGAGCCACGTTACAGTCATGAAAGACAGTGTGCCCAACTTCAGCGCATCATCAGCTGGAAAGGACACTTGTGGAAGGGTTATGAAACAGCCCTTCTCCAGTTACTAAAAGGGCAAAACTATATGCTCAGTGTAGTTATTGCTTGCCTTTCATCAGAGGCCACTAAAGACTGTCTTAGGGAGGATTTAGAAAAATAACCCCTAGACAGCAGAGAAAGTAGAATTCATTCTTCATGACTTGAGGGAATGCAAAGGCATTCTTGAATTTAGCAGTGGGAGGGGAAAATGCATATAGTCACATTACCTGTATTTTGCATTTGGCTTCCACAAGTTGTAGTTTGGTCTGTGCCAAGTCCAACTCCATCTCCCTTAACTGTTTCTTAAGGGCATCTTTCTCTTCATCTCTTTCCGCTCCTGGGCTTTCTCTGGGTACAGCAGGCACTTTCAGTGTCCCTTCTTTACTGAAGAGTTCACTGCAGTGTTTGCAGGCCATCACCTTCCCCTGAAACAACCAATCCCAAAGCCAGTTAATAGCCATGATATTAAAAAGGCTATATTCTATCCTAAGTTGATATCTTACAGCTAACAGGAGAGCATCTTAGCAGATAGCACTTCCTGACCAAAAGGAAGAGTGGCATAACTAATATAGCATATGGAACCTGCATGGCATGAGACATTTTAGAGTTCCAATATATGTTCCAATGATTGGATTACAGTGGTGCCTCGCTTAACGAGTGCCTCGCTCAACGATGAATTCGCATAACGATGGCCTTTGCTGTAAATTTTGCCGCCTCGCCTAACGATGTTTCCTATGGGGGATTTTCGCATAACTATGTTTGGGACCTTGCTTCACTTAACGATGACAGTTTTAGGTCCCCTGTTTCGCTTAACGTTTTTTTTGACAGCCCTGTTTTCGCTATTTTAAAAATATTCCAAAATGTTTAAAAATGTTTAAAATGCTTGGAATCGTTAGTGCACCTACTAAAACCTTCATTAAAGTAATTTGGCTTCGTTCTGAGTCTTTCTTAATTTTTGGTTATTTATTTTTCACCATTGAAATCTATTGAATAGGCTCCTATTGGAATGGATTAACCGGTTTTCAATGCATTCCTATGGGAAATGGTGTTTCGCTTAACGATGTTTTCACATAACAATGTTTTTAATGGAACCAATTAACATCGTTATGCGAGGCACCACTGTATATTCATTTTGAGCAACCTCTTTACTCAGAGTATATAGAAGTCATTGCCTTTTTGCATGCACACACACACATTCTGAATCTTCACTGTACTCTTTGTGTGACAGGATAGTATTTGTAGCCAGTAGCTCAGTTACATGCTGTATTAGACTGGTGAAATATTTTATAGATATGAAAACTGAGGAAAGAGAGCGAGCTCTGGGTGGCCCAGCAGATACAAATAAAACAAGAATAAAAATTGACAAAAATGCTGTGGTACCTTAAAGACTAACTGCTATATTTTAATATGAGTTGTGGTGGATCAAGCCACTTCCTCAGATATGAGTGCGACCATATGGCAATCATTTGTCTCATGGGGCCATGTATAAATAATTGCCATATAGTCTCACTCCTATGTCTAAGGAAGTGAACTTTATCCACCACAACTCATATTAAAATATAGCAGTTAGTCTTTAAGGTGCCAAAACATTTTTGTCTTTTTGTTTTTGTTTTCTTTTCTGATATGCTTACACAAAGTAAGATGGTACCCACTTTGAAAACTACAACTGGGTGACCCAGTAAATGATTTATTTTTCCTGATTCCTGTATAACAAAATACCTGGGCTTTTTATCCTAGAACCATTCACAGATGGGGGCAGTCATCATTTTCCCTCTCATATAAATCCCTGTAAATAACAGTTATGTTGTGACCTCAAGGGGATTTCAGATCCCCTTTCAGTTTGCACTTTCCTGCTTTCTAGCAGCTCTAATCTTCTGGGGGGGGGGATGTGGGGGAAATCACTAAAAAAGAATGGAAGGAAGAAAAAAGTTGAAAAGCAGCTTGCAGATGACGAGACAGGATTTGGCAGGCATGTGTATTCTGGAACATATCCTTAGTGGAATTGGAAAACACTGTTCGTTGGCTATGGATAAGGCGAGTTGTTTACATCCCTATACTGGGGCTGACATCAAAGATAGGATAGGAAGTGACTGTTCTAGCCTTGCATCCTCACGCTACAGATGGAGAGGACAACACAAAACTGGCTGGCAGAGAGTGCCCAAGGGATATTCTATACAATGTAGTTCACGCTTTTCAGAAGTGAAGTGCAATTGCAGAAGGCATGTTGTTAGAACACTGCCTAGGGTAAATGAGAATGGACGGAAGCTTGGTTACATACTAATTGAATAGTTTGTGTAAAAAGAACATTCACAGGGAGGGAGATGCTGAAAACACCTAGCAGATGAGAGTACTTTTTCCTGATATATATGACAGAAAGTGCTTGAAGAGTTTGGGGTATTCTGATAACACCGTTTTCACTCTTTTGAGAATGAGAAAAGATTCCTCTCCTGAATTGCACTGAGGGATGTCAACATTAAGGTACGATGTTGTGACAATTGCCCCACGTCACTCCTGTCACTCATAGTCAGGATCTCATTTGCATGAGCCTATGAGAGGATTGGAGGGGCAGAGTCAGCGGCTATATAAAGATTTGGCAGGAGGAAATAAGGGATAAGATAAGAGAGAGATAGAATTGGCATATAGATAGAGAGAGAGAGAGAGAAGGAACAGATACTAATAGGGATAAGCTGATCAAGATAAATAGATAGAGCAGGGGGTGATTGGTTATGTGGCAAGATATACAGTGGTGCCTCGCTTAATGGCGATAATCCGTTCCAGGAAAATCGCCGTTAAGCAAAAACATCGTAAAGCAAAAAAAAAAAAAAAGCGCATTGAAACCCATTCAGTGCGTTCCAATGGGGTCAAAATTCACCGTCCAACGAAGATCCTCCATAGGGCAGCTGTTTTCGCTGCCTGTCTTGTGAAGAATCCGTCCCAGAAAACAGCAGGCAGCCATTTTGTTTACCCGGTGGCCATTTTGAAACCACCGATCAGCTGTTTTAAAATCGTCGTTTTGCGAAGAATCGGTTCCTGAAGCGGAAAAAACATTTAGACCATCGTTTTGCGATCGCAATTGTGACCGCAAAAAGATCGTCGTAATGCAGTTTCATTGTAATGCGGGGCAATCGTAAAGCGAGGCACCACTGTATAGTATTTCAATGATTTGATTGTGTACAATGAATATCTGAAGAACATCTGTGATTATGATTAAATTTGATACACTTCAATAATAAGTTCTGTTGGCAGTTACCAGAGATGTGTTTGACTAAAGTCTCTTATATTGTGGATAAATGGAATCCACTGGTGGCAGTGAGGGAAAGAGAAGACTGAACCCTTTGTGAGGACACAACACATAGGTGCATCAAAGGAGTGAACGTCACAATTGGTGTCAGCTGGTGGGATGGTATAGTGTGAGCTCTTTGTTTGGTGAAACAAGCAGGGGCCGCGTGGTAAACATCACAGATGTAAATGATCAATAAGTACACCAATGCCTGTTCTACATTTTCCCCCAAGCAGTGCAGGCTTTCAGCTTTAGTATTCCTCAGCCTTTTCACAGTGTTTAAAGGCTTTGAAAAGGTGCATCTTCCCCTAGGCCAGTGGTTCTTAACCTTGGGTTACTCAGGTATTTTTGAACTGCAATTCCCAGAAACCCCAGCCAGCACAGCTGGTGCTGAAGGCTTCTGGGAGTTGCTGTCCAAAAACACTTGAGTAACCCAAGGTTAAGAACCACTGCCCTAGGCCAGCGATCGTGGACCTTTTTGAGTCCGAGTGCCCAAACTGGAAAAAAGAGAAAAAAAACCAGCGGATGGCTGGGTGTGGTGGCAGCAGAAGCAGAAGTGGTGACGGTGGAAGGGGGAATCCCAGCCCCAGGGTAGCCTCTAGAGCCCACTCCAGATTCACCTCCAATTGTGCCCAACCCCACCACTGCCTATAGCTTGGCCGGCCCACCGTCACCAGTGCCAGCTGCTCCGGATCCTGGCCCGCCACCTGTTGGGGTGCTAGCACTGCAGCTGCCTCCTCAGGTTTGGCTGTCGGGGGTAGCAATCCAGTGACTTATGGCTTGCGTGCCGACAGAGAGGGCTCTGCGTGCCAGCTGTGGCATGCATGCCATAGGTTCACTATTGCTGCCCTAGGCAGTCTCCTAAAAACTACAGTGGTGCCTTGCTTAACGAGCGCCTCTGCATAGCGACTGATTTTTTGCGATCTCATTGCAATGTTTTTAATGGTAAAAAATCGCTTTGCGATGATTGGTAAGCTGTTTCGTTTACTGATTTTCGCATAACGATGTTTTAAAAACAGCTGATCGGCAGTTCCAAAATGGCCGCTGGAAAAAATGGCCGCCTGCTGTGTTTTCGCGCCGATTCCTCACATACCGGGCAGCAAAAATGTGAGGAATCGGATTCTTTTCACATAGCGACGAATCCGGATAGCAACAATTTTTCTGGAACGGATTATCGTCGCTATGCGGGGCACCTCTGTATTGGGGTAAGGTTATCCTTACCTTAAGATATAATTCCAATTAACAGCATGCTCATGAATTAGCTATTGAACATGACACATCAGGCACATCTCAAATTTCACAGTGACCATAAAGTTACAATATGATTTTGCAAATGTTTTCAAAAAGTGCATGGCTATGGTTTCATTGCTGTTATGCACCATCAAATCATTTCTGACTTACAGCAGCCCTAACAGTATTTCCAAGGTACATGAGAAATTCAAGGGGTTTACCATCACCACTTCCTAGTTTCCATGACCGAATGGGGATTTGAATCCAGGTTTCCTAATACTGTACAACATTCTATTCACTACATCATACTAGTTCCCTCCATCACCACAGTTCACCTGTGCTGAAACTGCATGTATAGTCTGTTCGGCCAAACTGCCTGCTAGAACTATCAACAACATATACTTTCAATGGGTCACAGAAACATGTGTTCTCACCTTTAGAACCTCAAGCTCTTCTTTACTTGCTGCCTGTTGCTTCTCCAGCCTACTGCTCAATTGGGAACAAATCTAGAAACAGGCAACATGCTTTCAATAATTATTTTTCAAATAAAAGAAAACCAAATAAATGTTAACAGAGCAGTAACATTTCATCTTCCTGCAGCCTTCTGCAAGCCATGACCTTGTCAGGAATGATTCCCTGATAATTGTTTCTAGGTGTCTCTAATACTAATTATGATCTGAAAATCAATGTCCAAAATCCTGTTGTATGGTTACGCTGCCAGTGGAAGGGAAATCGCATAACTCATGATGGCAAATTGCCACTAATTAACCATTCCCTCCTTGGGTCATAAAGACATGAGTAAAGAGAAAACATGCTTTATCTAGATCAGGGGTGTCCAAACTTTTCAGCGGGTGGGCCACATGACATATGCTCCACATTTTTGAGGGCTGAAGGAAGACGTGTGCACGCACTCCTGCACACACACACTCCCGCCCACCCGCATGCACTCCTGCCCGCCCACCCGCACACTGGGCCAGATAAAAGGCAAGGCAGGCCAGATGTGGCCCATAGGCTGGAGTTTGGAAAACCCTGATCTAGATTATACTGGGAGTTGGCTAAATAGTTAATTCATATAGGAAGAGACTTTATTTAAAAGTAAGCTGGCCTAGAAAATACTTCCTAGAATGTTACACATACTGAAATGGGAACTGAACATAAAAAACAAAACATGTTACTTGTTTATATTCTGCAATAATTGCGGTTGTCTTCTTTATTTCAGATTCTGCCTTCTCCAGCTGTTTTCTGAAGAGCTCTTTCAGCTGCATAAAAAGATTAAATACTGAGAAATGTTCTAATTCAATAACTATTCACTTTCTTGAGCACATACTCTTTATCTAAAATAAAATAGTGCTTTAACTAGTTAAGTCAATTTAAATAGACTAATTCATTCAATAAAATATTGAAAGCTATGGCTTACTAGCTGGCTGGATAGTGAATTGGAGTATAGAGGTCAAGGGTTTTATTCTCCACTGTGCCTCCTGGGAAAGAGTTGGCATGTATATATATATATATACCTTGGGCAAGCTGCACAGTTCCAGAATGGCCAAGGAGAAGGGACTGATAGATCATTTCTGAGCACTTTGTATCAAGGAAATCCTGCCGTGATTTCCTATAAATTTGTATTGACTTGACTGCAAATCATTTATCAATGTTACTATGGGAGACAGATTAAATACATTCACACCTGATGCTAAAGGTTAACCATTGTTTAGAGTTGGCTGCATCAGATGGAAAAAAATTAGAATAAGCCCTGAGCACATGTGCATCTCCCCTCTCACAAACTTTTACTTCTGCTTAACTATGGGGTCAAACTGTCTAGAATAGCAAACAAATGAACCCTAGCTAGTCAATTTCAAATGTGCCAACTTTCTACCTTGGCTTCCAGAGCTGATTTCCTGAAATTAAACATGATAACCATGATTCACAATTCAGATGATGTAGCTGTAGTTAATTAAAGGTACATATGATCACTTCTGAATTCCTTCTCACTCAGGATGAAGAAAACAAAGGGGCACACATGACCCAAAGGCTCACAGCCTCTGTGTCCTGTTTGTGTACACCATGTTTTAGCACAACATATAAATTATGTTTAGAGCCTAAAATATTTTTATTAACAATGCTGAAAGAAATGAGGTCACTGTAGACAAGGGCTGACTGCAACGGTAAGATTAATGTACACCAAAAAATTGTAATTATGGGATGTCACTGCATTGGGTAAGACAGGCATTATTTGTCAACTGTTGCATGTGCCAACAAGTTGAGTCAGATTCATGGAGACCCTATTAATCTGTGACTTCCAAAATATCCTGACATTAACAGGCCCACTTAGCTCTTGTAAAACTTGTAATAATTTGTAAAGGTGTAAACTGAAGGCCATGGCTTTGTTTACTGAGCCAAGCCATCTTATGCCCAGTCTTCCTTTTTTTCTTGCTGCCTTCCACTTTTCCAAGCATTATTGTCTCCCAAAGACAATGAATCTGTTGTACTTTGGGTATATCATGAGAAAAATCTTTTAGTAATTTTCATTTCTAGAGAAGGTCCAGGCTTGATTTGATGTAATGTACTCTCTGGCAGCCCATGGTATTAGTACAGCATTCCTCTAAAACCACATTCATGTCAATTCATTTTTTACTTTAAAATCTTATTAAATGGCCCTCCAAGCACCTAGAGACGCCAAATTTGCAGGGAAGCTTTCTTTGATTCTCCTCTACAAGCCCTGCAGGTTTGGTGACATTTGGATTTTGGATGTCTGAGTTATACAACTACAATTAGGGCAATCCCAGGAAAGTTTCCTCCAGGCAACTAGAGACACCAAAATCATAGACAGTTTCCCATGACGCTCCTCTACAATCCCTCTAAGTGTGCTGTAGATTGGGTTTCATTCATCCACATTATACACCGGCAAAGTGCAATTTAGCAGCTGGCTTGGGGAAACCCAATCTTCATCAAACTTGGGTGAATTAGTAGAAGCTTCCCTGTGATTTTGGTATGTCTAGATGCCTGGGGAAATCTTTCCTGGGGGCCTACCTGTTATTGTATAACTTGGACATCTGAAACCCAATTTTCACCAAACTTGATTTGGGTGCCTCTACGCGCCTTGGAAGAAGGCTGACCACTGAAGAATTGATGCTTTTGAATTGTGGTGCTGGAGGAGACTCTTGAGAGTCGCCTGGACTGCAAAGAGAACAAACCTATCCATTTTGAAGGAAATCAACCCTAAGTGCTCACTGGAAGGACAGATCCTGGAGCTGAGGCTCCAATACTTTGGCCATCTCATGAGAAGACGCTGATGTTGGGAAAGTGTGAGGGCAAGAGGAGAAGGGGACGACAGAGGATGAGATGGTTGGACAGTGTCATCAAAGCTGCCAACATGAATTTGACTAAACTCTGGGGGCCAGTGGAAGACAGGAGGGCCTGGCGTGCTCTGGTCTATGGGGTCACGATGAGTTGGACATGACTTAATGAATAAACAACAACAGGTGCCTTGGAGGCCATTCTATAGTCAAATGAATCAGCGAATCAAAATTGCTGAACATTTGTTGATTCATGATTCATTGGGGGCATTAATTCATACAAATACAAATTGACAAATTAGTGATTTTTGAATGAATTTGGTGATTTGTTTTTTAAATTCATGCCCACCTCTATTCCAGATACTTTGTAAAAACATTTGACATTAGAATCTAGTAGGTCTTTATAGATTAAAACCAGCACTTTGAATTGTGCCCAGAAACAGATTGGCAGGCAGTGAAGCTGCTGTAACAGGAATTTGTGATCCCTGTAACCTGCCCTAGTCAGCAGTCTGGCTGCTGTGTTTCGCACCTGCTGACGTTTCCACAGGTAGCCCTCACACAGACTGCATTACAGTAATCCAGCCAGGATGTACGGTAATTAAGGCACATATTACCACAGCCAGGCCAAATGTCTCAAGAAATGGTCACAGCTGGTGCACTAGTTTTAATTGTCCAAATGCATTCCTGGTCACTGTCGAAACCTGGCATCTAGGCTCACAGATGAATCCAGAAGCACCCCCAAGCTGCATACCTGTGTTTTCAGAGGAAGTGTATCCCCATCCAGCACAGGTTGAATCTCTGTTCTTTGATCTGCCTTTCGATTGACCTCATCTATCTTGTTTTGTTTCAGTTTATTCATCCTCATCCTTAGCCCTGTTGAATTTCATACTGTTGTTTTTAGCCAAGTGCACCAGCCTATCCAGGTTGTTTGGAATGTTGTTTCTTTCTTCCAGGGTATTAGCTGCTCTACCCAATTTTGTGTCATCCAAAAATTTGATTAGCATCCCCTGATCCAGGTTATTAATAAAAATATTGAATAGCACAAGGGCCAGGAGTGAGCCCTGGATTACCCCACTTGTTATCTCCTCCTAGTTGGGAGAAGGAACCATTATTCATCGCTGTCTCAGTACAATTCTGTAGCCAACTGTATCCACCTGACAGTTGTTCTACATCTAGACAGTTCCCCACGTCTAGTTAGCTTGCTAATCAAGAGTATCATGAGGCACTTGTACAAAAGTTTTGCTGAAGTCAAGATATACTATGTCTACAGCATTCCTTATGTCTATCAGGGAGTAACCCTGATCAAAAAGTGAGATCAGATTAGTCTGGCAAGATTTGTTCTTGACAAATTCATGTTGGCTTCCAGTTATTACTGCATTGTTTTCCAGGTGCTTGCATAATGACTGCTTTATAATCTGTTCCAGAATTTTCTCTGGGATTGATGTCAGGCTGACTGGTCTGTTGTACCCAAGTTCTTCTTTTTTGCCCTCTTTGTAAATAGAGACAACATTAGCCTTTCTCCAGTCATCTGGCACCTCCCATGATTTCAGGAAAATAATGGACAGCAGTTCTGAGAGTTCTTCAGACAGTTCCTTCAATACTCTTAGATGCAGTTCATTTAGCCTGGTGATTTGAACTTGTTCAAGGTAGCGTGGTATTCCTTGACTATTTGTTTATCAGTTTCCAGCTGCAATCTTGTCCCCTCCACCTGCACTTCACAATTGTCTGGAGGGTTATAGTCTGTCTTTCAGGAAAAGACTGAGCTAAAATAGCAATTCAGCACTTCTGCCCTTTTTTGTCTTCTGTTATCAATTTTCATCACCACTGAGTAGCTGAGCCACTGCTTCTTTTCTTTGTCTTTTGTTACATACTTGTTATGTCACAATATCACTTTGCAATGCATGCTTGAGGGCAGGTGAATTTAGCCAGAATCACAATTAATACAAGGTTACTTTGCTCCCAAAAGCAATCTTTTACTGTTGCTAGAAGTTGACCATTATGATATGTATTCTTACTTTGGATGTGACAGCTCTAATTGCAAAGCTTGGTTGCATCCGAATTAATCTCCAAGAATCTTCAGGCAGTAATGTCTTGTCCTTCCTTCACTTCTTTTCCTGCACTTAATTTATCTTGAATAATGAACTGCAACAATCTGTCCTTTTTTTCTTTCATTATGGGACCAAAGTAGTCTAGCTGTTCAAATTTTATGAGTGTTATGATTCATTGGTCTTTATTATTCATCTTAGTACACTGTTGGCCATCTACTCAATTCCAGAAATTATTTGCTCCTGCAATATATCCATGTAGGAAAAGCTTGTGGGGTTTTTATAGTTACCACTGTTGAAGTCCACAACCCAGTACCATATGATACAGAGTATCTAACATTTAAGAACTTTGAGGGGAAGGAATCATTCTTATCCAGTGAAGATGGATATACAGTGGGCCCTCGATTTACGAACGGCCCTAGTTACGAACATTTCGGGTTGCAAACCCGATCTCATCGCAAGTAGTAAACCCTACTTGCGAATGCAGATCGGGTTACGAACCTAAAAGGCAGGGAGAAAGGGTGAGAAATTCGAATTTCCTGCCCTTCCTCCCTGCCTTTGGAGCTTTCAAAAGGCTTCCTCCGACATCGGAAGAAGCCTTCTGAAACCTCAGAAGCCAAAAAGGCAGGGAGAAAGTGCGGGAAGTTCGAACTTCCTGCGCTTTCTCCCTGCCTTTTTGGCTTTGGAAGCAAGCCGGCTGGCCGGGGAGAAATTAGCTCCCTCCTTTCACCCGATGCTGAGTCCTCTACGTGCTGGGCTGAGCTCAGCCGGCGCGAAGGGGACTCAGCATCGGGTGAAAGGAGGGAGCTGAT